AACCTTTGTCTGTAATCCGCTAATGATAAAAAAAACACAGTTCTGACTTTGTGTTGTTTCTTCTAAGTATTTAACTCAATTAAAATCACGTGGATGAGTCTGTTCACATGATGAGTAATTTTAAAAATACGCTATGCCATCATCTTCCTACCACTTCCTGTCTTCTTCTTCTTCATGGTTTGCGCCAGTGGCAACATCTGGTTGCTGCTCATGTAACTAGTATGATGCAGAGCAATATTTCTATTATTGCAGAATACAATTATTTCTATAAGGCTGAAAAACCAACTCATTATACCTCAAAAACGTTTTTATCAAAAAACATTTTTTTTTTTCAAAATTGCCCAATTTTATGGTCAATGAAAATGCAGCTAGTGAACAAAAAAAAGCTTTTGTGCCTTTTTATTCACTGTATGTAAACTTCTGGTTCAGATTGAAGCAATTAATCAGAAGCTAAAACTGAATGAGAGACAGAAGGAGCATGTTTTATTATTTCAGTGTAATTACTTAGAATAAAGTATCACTATTGTAAGCAGAGTGCTTTGTGGGGGACCTTATAAATATGTAAATATGTATAAAATGTCAGATGTGATAGCTATAGAACTACATTCACCTGCTTTAATCTTCCCAACAATGCAGTGCTGCCATTCGCCTGATACAAAAAGGTTTTGTGCCAGCAGAGTCCATTTCCTGCTTTGGTAATAGTGTTATAAAGTGAACTATGATCTAATAAAGCTCAGTGAAGAGAAGAGTGCTGCTGAAGCTGCAACCTAAAAGCCTGGCAAGAGTTAAAACATTTGACATATTGGCCTTTAAAACTGATTTTCCATATTAAAGCTGAACAAACTGCAGCTTGTATTGCACTTGAAAAAATTCTCCACTGCCCAGCAGAAACAGCTGATGTGATTACTTTTGACCTTTGTGTCTTTTTGAAACAAGGAGAGACCTCAGACAACGGAGCGATTGTAATTGTGCTGGTAATGACCTTGAGTTGAGGTTAATAAGTAGGATAACCTCTGACTCTGAGGTGAGGAACGCACCGTGCCGGCCTTCGCCGCCTCGACGCAGATTAAAGGTTTGCAGAGACAATTCTTAGAGGAGTTAACATGTTTTAAAGCTAAGCCCAATCAGCTCCTTTCCTGAGGAAAATAATTTTAAATGAGTAGTTTGTATAATTGAACATGTTGCTGGACTGTAAGTTTTTTTTTAATAAAGTGCTTCAAGTCGACACATTCAGTTTAATCCATCCATTCATGCGACGCTTCACACTTGTGTGTGTATTTATAATGTGCAGTTTGAAAAATTACACAGTAAAAATCAAAGTTTACCACTTCCTGTTTACTTATTTGTCAGAGAAAAATATTTATATAAAAATAACTTGTTTCTGTAAAATCTTTGATAGCCGATCAAAAGCAATTTAAAAATGAATCAAACATGAACCAGAAGTTTCCTGGCGACTGTTGATGCAGAAACTGTTGCTATGGAAACACGAGTAAACGTTGGTATAGCTGTTTAAAGGCCATGTTCTGTGTTTTCAGGCATCACTTTGGACATGTAGAGAGGAAAAGAATCGATTAAAAAAACAATTTGTGAGACGACAGAAGAGATTCAGTCTCAGCAGCAGCAGGAGTTTAAATAGAGAAAATACACATTTTATTTTGGTAGTTCACTTCTGCTTACCATCAAGTTAAATTAGTCAAATTCAACTTGATGGTTTGATCAACTCAACAAACGTGTCAGGAGGGAGAAAGTATGGGCCGGTTTTTAAGCTAGCTATTTACACATTTTGTCTGTGAGCCTCAGTGAGGTTTGCTGCTTCCACAGACAAATTATCTGGACTTTAACCTGTAAAAAACAACTTGGCAGTTTCTTTGTTTAGTTCTTCTGTCCCTCAGTTCTGGCGCCTCAAAGTGATCAGGTATTTGTGAAAGGTTAATTCCCTCCCTGTGTCCTTCAGCCATTTGTATTTCTCTTTCCATGTGACTTTCTGCTACATTTATTCAGCAGTTTATTGTTGGCCGAGGCAATCATCCTGAAGTACAAAGGATCTTTGAATTTTTCATGAGAAAATAAAACTCCCATTCATAGTCAATTCAAACAGGTCACAGTATTCATAATGTATAAGTTTAAAAGCAGGAGCTCGAGATAAAAGTCCTCTTGTGCAGGTAAAGGTAGATGGAAGGAAACCTAGAAAGAGCCATGAGTTCATCGAGGTGCTTTCTCAAAAAGAGTGAGATGGAAGTGCACATATAGATGGGAAGAGTGGTGGGTCATAACAGAAATAAAATAAAATTGACATTGAAAGTTTAGTGAAAAGGTTCAGGTGTAATGTGCAGAGGAGGGGGGTGAGGACAGAGCATGTTTTATTAAATCTGAGGGAATAAAAGGAGATCGAAGAAAACGAGAGCCAGGGAAATAAAAGTACAGAGGCTGATGAATAGATCCAAGGACTTTCTGCCTGTAAATGAAAAAGGGATTAAATCATGTCCTAACAGGACACAACTGTGTTTGCTGCTATTTATTAACCAAGGATAGAAACAGAGAAAAGGCTCCAAATAGATGAAAAAGGTGAAAGAGAGGAAGGACAAACCAAGATAAAGTGTGATTTCTAACAAACGGCTCATAATTTAAAAGAGACGCAATCAGCCGACATGAAACCTTCGTAGACATTTAATCACGCAGAAATACTCAGACCTTTAGGACCAATGCAGCAAATTACAGTGATGTTTTATCAAAAATCTGCTTTTTAGGGTCAACATTTTTCAAATGATAAGTCATCTATCAAGAAAGCAACTTTTGTTTAACAAATGTGATTTTCTGAGTTTTTCAGACGGATGAGTCGTGGTTCTGGTTGCTCCTTCAGTTTACGTGGCTTAAACACCAAAGTTACAATCAAATGCAGATTTCCCTCCGTTTCTTTCACCGACTATAATAACCTTTATTTTCTCCTCTTAGTTGATGCACTCAAGTTAAATGGGTTGTCAAATGTTTACTTCTAATTTGCAGCAGACGCTAGAAAGTCATCAACACAATTTAATTTGTCCAACACACTCCTCGCAAATTGGAAATACAATGTGCACATGGGTCCAGGTTTAAAAATACCAACATGGCGCTTCTTCATCGTGAGATCATGGACTCTGTAAAAATGAAATTCTAATAAATGCTGAGTTTAGATGCAACTTATCTGACTAACATATTCATGTAAATTATATTCAGAAATTTACCTCTGACTTAAAATTTCTAATGTAGTTGACATGCCATGTTTATGTATCCTGATGTATAAATATCAATCAAATAGAGATTGATATTTCTTAATTAATAAATTAAAGCTTTCAGTTGTAAATCAGATTCCAGTATTAATCTCTGCTTTATTAATGAAGCAAATTCATCAGCTGGGTTTCATTTTTGATCTTTGAAGAGCAGATTCTTCTTTTCCATCATAAACTCCAAAGACTAGTAAATACCTGAAAGATACATTTCTAAGTTTTTAGTGTGTTGATTTCATTTATTTTTATATTCATTTTTCCTCAAACAGAAATGTTCAAGTTCAACATTAAGAAAAAAAAAAAAAAACGTTTTATGTTGTAAACACTAAAGTGAACATCAGTTCATTACCCACCAGATGTTTTTCTGATTTTAATGGACAACTTTAAATTAGAATAGAACATTCTTCAAAGAGAGAGAGATGCCACAGAGGGTCACTTGGATTCAGGACCGAGCTTTGACTAGGACATTTCAATAGATGATTAGAGTCAGTTTTAGGGCTGTTGTAAATCATTATTTTACTAATTGAATTGAGTAATCTATCAATTATTCGGACAATTAGTCAGATCATTGAATAAACAAAATTGTCTTGTTCTGTAGTAGTTTTTTAAACTAATGAGAAATAAGTAAAAACTGTTAACTCAAACATTACTTCTGTCTCAAGTTTGAAATATGATTTTTTTTTCAAGAATTAAAAACAGATGAGAAATCAAACATTTCACTTTAACTTTCAAAAGCTAAAAAGCAAACTTAAATGTAAGCATAAGTAAACACTGAAAATACTTTTTTTGAATGAAATATATATTTGTAGTATTTTTTCCCTCTTTCTCTGCAGTGCTTCTTTCTGTTTCTTGCCATCTCCCTCCGTAGCTGCTAATAGCACTTAGCATTTGTGAAAAGCTCATTGGCAGAAGTGAGAGCATTGGGCAACACAAATAATCACCCGGCTGGAACGCAGTGAAATAAACAGAAAAACATAATTTAACTTGAGGAATTTAAAAAGTCAAGCTACTCAAATCATTGGCTATTTGTCTGACCAATGCTCTTCTTTCCCAGACTTTCATTTGACGGATGATGATGGATCATCACAGATCGTTTTTCTTCCACTTCCTAGTTATTCAGTACAGTACAGTGGCTTCCTAATAATAATGTGGTCATAATGTGTTCGATGTGAACATCTTCAGGAGGTAATAATATTTTTGCTGGTCACTGCAGGATAGAGATGATAAGCACTTAGTGGTTCAACACCATAAACGTCACTTTGGTTATCAGCTGGGAGGGAAAAATGGAACAAAATAGTTTATTCAGCAAAAACTGCTGAAAGCTGAAAGTTCTTGCTGCTGGCAGATCAGCTTTCCTACTGATCCAATTCATTTTCTGCATTTGACACTTTTAAGCTCATAAGCCGCAAAAAGCTCTTGTAATCTAATGGTTATGATATAATTTAGAGCCGTTCCTTGATGTCAGACTGGCCCATGTGTAATGAGCTTTGTTAAGAAGCAATAAGATTTTCTGTAACGTTTAAGTTGTAGAATGTGTGTATGTGAACCTTTTGTTTGTGAAATGTTTGTTACCTTTTTGGGTGTGTCCTTGTAGCGGCCATCTTGGAACCTACTAAGGAGGAGGCCCGCCTCAAACCCAGCTCTTTTATAGAAGAAGCCATGTTTGCTGGAGTTTGATTGGCTGGGCAGTTAATTGAGAAGGCGGGGACAACAGTATATAAAGAGACTGCTGGCTGAAAGTGGAGAGACAAGTGGAAACAAAAATAAATTAGATATAAGAGAGCTGTTTCAGAGATCGTCAGGGGATGTAGTTTTTTGTAGTATTTTTCTTTTTCTTAGTAAAACGGGTATTATGGGGAGATTATAAGCGTCTGGTCCATACTCCAACCTGGAAATGCACCTAAAAGTTGTTTGCCAACCACCATAAAAAAAAGAAGAAGAAACTTGAGAGACTGAAAGTTAAGAGACTGATGGGAAAGCTGCCATTTTGTCTTGTGAGTGAACTATGCTGTGCTGAAGGAGGCCTAATCACCTTAGTTCATGGTACAGCCAACTTTGAGTTTTCCTTCCACACCACACCTCTCAGTGTAACAAGCTTTTAATTAGTTTAACAAAGCAATGACTCTTTGAATGTTTCTTTGAGGCAGGGAGGAAAGCATTGTTCTATCATCGATCAAGAGAATCATCCGTCTGCTTTGGTCAAACTGCCCTGTCTTTGTCTCTCTCTGCAAACTGAAATCGACCTGCTGCAGGTTTCTGCAATACGAGGAACCTGATCTCAGAATTCAGTGATATGAAGTGACGTTCCATACGTTGCTGCTCAGCTCTTCCTTTTACCCAGCGAATCATCCGGCTCCCTGTCAGGTATCGTACACATTCAAGATTTTTTTCATTTATCCAACATTTGCAGTTTGAGGTCAATTGTGATTTGCTTAAGTGCTCTCCTTTTCTTCCACTGTCGTCTAACTAATCCTGCAGCATAAACGTTTTCCACTGTGAATGTGTAGTTTAATGCTGTGATCAGATGACGACTCCTTTGATTTAATTCCTTAGTGAAATGGCAACCTGATCAAAATAACAACTCTGTGGCCTGGTGCTGATCCAAAATCAATGTTTTATCCATGTTTTCATGGTTTCTACATCTGATTCACAAATCAGATAACAGCAATGATATGCTGGATAAGTTCAGTTAATGCAATGCACAGCCTCCCCCTGCCAAGTCACAGATATTCACACTTCCCAATCTGCAATGATTGCAAATCACAGAGCAGCTAATAAAATGAGAAAAGGAGCAAAATGTTTTTTCTCAGCAAGTTTTATTGTTGAGAAGGGTGAAGAACTGGAGCACTGTAATTAGCAAAGTGTGGAATTGGTAAGCGTTTGGATGCTTTTTCAGCCTCGGGTTGTAAATGTTGGAACACTGTTATAAATTTGCCGATGTTTGCTTCCAGCCTGAAGGCAGCAGAAGTAGCAAACATGTCCACTAATGCAGGCTGGATGATTCCCACACTAAGGATCCCATTGGAAATACTTTGCTGCTGCGCACCAAGCATAGAAATGCCTAATTAGATGTAATGCTCTTAAATTTATTTTCTAGATCCATAACTATTTATATTCTGTATTTAAATTATAACCTTTAATTGATTTAGCACCTGATTCTCAGACGGTGTTTTATCTGTTTCTTCTTCAGTGCTGCAGCTGCCAGCGAGTCGCAACAGTAAAAAAAACTTACTGCTTATCACAAATATGCAAACATATGGACAACTTTTCCTGTAAATGCAGAAGATTCTGCTTGCTTGTCAATGAAGAGACAGACCACGAGAAAACCAGGAAGAAGAACACTTCAAAAAGTGTTCATCAGAGCAGAAAAAGATTAAAAAGGATAAAAAAACCCCCACAAATTTCTGAGAACTGATTTTTCTTGCAAACCTTGTTTTAGTCATGTAGAAACGGCAGTTTTGTAGGTTTAAAATGCTAAACTTGAATTCTGATTGCTAACAGAGTAAATATGAGATGTTTTGTTGTGTGGGAGAAACTTAGCGCTGATTAACATACTGGGCTTTATTGGATATTCATTTTGTTATTTGTTTTGGCCAATAAGATTAACGTTTAAAAGAAACAGCTGCCCACTAAACATCGCCACCATGATGGAGGTCCGCTGGTGGATCCAGCATTTAGTGCCTGAACCCAGAGGGGTTTTCAGGGTCATGATCCCTCTGGAGATGAAGGTGTTTTTTATTGTTGTCATGGTCACTGTTCTTCTGAATATGTGTTTGTGTTTTTATGTTATTTTTCTTGCTTCTTCAGGTTGTTCCTTGTATTTATAGCTCCTAGCTTGTTTATTATTGTATTTTATTTGCACATTTCCTTTAAATTATGTTAGCTGTTGGATGTTAGAAGTGTTTACACACCAGATTATATTTACACAATGTTTTTTTTATTTTTATTTCGTGTAAATAGTTTGTTATGGCTTTTATGAACAAATATGCATATATTGTCCCTTTTTTCAAATAATCCTATAATTTTTAATGACTGCATTATTTCTCCTGTTTAAATTTGCCCTTCATGTATAATCTCTTTTTCTTATTCTGTCTGTTTACCTGTAACTTCCTGCTGGTACACTTGAAGTTCCCAAAGGTTGGACAATAAAGGATATTTCTATTCTAATTTATTCGTACCTTCTTGCTGCAATCAGGCTTTGAACCATCAAAGAAACTTTGATGGTTCTTGGTGTTGATATTCATGGTGTTGTATGAATATAAGATACTGAGACTGTTGGTCATATCAGGCCACAACCTGATGACTCATCACTAAGATCTCTTCCTTTACACTTGGAGCTGGGAAATCAAAAAGTCTTCAGATGAAAACCGACTGTGTCTCCGTTCTTTTTCTTCTCATCAATCCACTAATTCACCTCTTTCAAGGACTTCATCTATTACCTTCACTTATCTGTAATTTTATTCTTTCAGCAGCTGAAGATGAATTATACAGCGACTTAAACTCCTTATCATCAGGGAGAGGAGAGAAGCGGCATCGTGTTATTAGGACGTCGTTTCTGATCAGAATCCTCAGTGGAGCAGCAGCATGGCCTCCTGAGGTTCTGTCTGAACGGTTTTACTGACATCATAAATCTTAATTGCCACTAATGGAGGAACCATAAAACCAGGAGTCAGTACCTCTGTAGGACAAAGTGCTGAGGAATCGTGAATCCTGCAGATTTAATGAGGTTCCGTCTGAACTCCAGTCCGCTTCTGTCACCGTAGCTACAGCTGTTAGGTGTTCAGTAGAGTGACTATATTATCTTCAGTTGGGATTTCTCTTCCATGCATGAATGAGTCAAAGAAACTCTGGGTATGTTTTTGATGAGGGAACGACATCATAACATTATGTACCGTAAATCTCAAAAAGGTTCGTTCTGCATAATACTCACCCCTTAAAGACCCGTCGTCACTGCAGAAACCCGCAGAAACCTGCAGAGCTCTCAGGTCTTCTGGTTCTGGTCTGCATCCCAGAATCAGAACCAAACATGGTAAAGCAACGTTCAGTTTTTATGCTCCTTTCCTTTAAATCAAGGTGAAAAACTGTTGAAAGTTGCATTTGACTAACTGGACTAAAACTGTTTCTTGCTTCTCTTTATTTTGTCACTGTAATGTTCATTGTGTTTTAGATTTAAACATAAAAAGCAGTTTTTAGATGAAAACTACAATCTGAATGTGTTTTACAAATAAACTTGACTTCTGTCCTTCAGACTTGAGTCCCTTCAGTCGGTTTCAGTCCTTCTGTTCTCACTCTGCTGCTCTTTCTGCTCCAGTGTTGACTTCAGAAATCACTCGCTTCGTAGCAAGACATCACATTCAAATATTCAGTGTTGAGCCGAGGTGTCATTTTACTGTCAGAATTACCATCCATCCACCCTGGAAGACAATGAAATCTGTCTTTCCTCTTCGCTTCACAGGCATCAAGATGATGTGTTTCACTGGACAGAGTGACATAATGTCTAATCTCCACTTACATGTCAGAAAAATGCTAGTTTCTTTTTTTCTATAATCATGCCATTAATGGCTTTGAATATATATATATTTTTATCTTTGCTATTTTCTAGCTTTTTGTGTTGGTTCTTCGGGGAAACCAGGTCTGCAAGGTTTTCTGAATTTTTCATGCAAAGTTTCTCTTTTTCAGCCATAAAGGAGAATAATAATGAAAAGAAAGCATGAAATCCAATAGTTGGAATGCGAATAAGTCAGAACTTCATGTTTGGCTTCTAAAATTGGTTTATCACAGTTGGTAAATAAAACGCTGAAATAGGTTTTATTTTCATTTGAAAGAAAGTTAAAATGACTTTGCTTATATAAACAGAGTTTACATCAACTGAATCGACACCTAGGCTTAAAAATCAAAATAAGGAATTAAAATGGTGCGAGCAGAGTAAAATAAATGCCTTCACAGATCCACTGATCCTGACAAGACGTCTACAACCTGCATGTGTGGAAATGTTACGGCTGATTACTGCTGTTTAAATACATCCCAGAAAATGGTAAACCACCAACTTATTGTCTTTGTTTATTTATTCATTTCATAAGCCAAGAAAAATATACAATTTAAATTCAAGCTTCAGCAAAAACTCTTACTGCATGTTTAACAAGCCAGCTAGCACAGTTGTTCATTCTGCTGAATGCAGACAACAGCAACAAGTAAGTTTATGTAGCTCAGTGCCGGAGTCATGAGATTCAGAAAAAAGTGACAAATTTATTCTGCAGATATTCAGATGCAACAAATAACACAAAGTTAACATTCAGCCTTAATTACAAAAGTGTTAATCTGCAATTTTGTTGATTTTTATTTGTCAAAACATTAGAAATTCATTCATGAGTTTCCTTCAACTTCACAATTAAACCTGCTGACATTTGTGACTGGAACTTAAAATAAAGTTGAGGGCGTGTGGATAGTTTTGTCTCTGATCTTTGTGGATCACGACTCAGGCACCGAGCAAAATGCAGTCCACAAGAAACACACTGATAGATACCAGACACTTTCTGAGCATAAGAAAGAACACAACAGAAACACTTAGGAAATGCTCTTTTTTTGGTACGCATTATTATAACACCAACAGTTTTTTAGAAATAGATTTTAAACAAGATTTCTTTTGACATTCATGTGGTCTGTAGGATGTAAACAAACGAAAGCGAGCTCTCTGCTTCCTGATGCAAAGAGCTGACGATATAGAATCATTACAGATGCTGTGAGATAGCCGACAGTTTTACATCAAGAACAACAAGCGAAATATCATGAGTATTATATGAACGATGAGGTCATGGTTCTTTTACATCGAGAATGTTCTTGTCAAATGTCTGTACAGAGTCAAGAGGCAGAAAAGTGATGCTGACTTCCCCAGGAAACGAGGATTTCTGCCGACTCAGACTGACCTGCTACAAAGAAACCACACCAAACGATTTCAGAAAATATCGTTGCTTCTTTAGTTTTAACAGTTACAGTTAAGCACAAAGAGCCTCACAGCGGCGATGCGACACGTCTTCATAAAGAAGGACTCGGTGACCTTGATACTCCGACTAGTTTTCCTAAAAAATCGGCTAGGTTGTAAAAAAAAAGGTGACCGGTATTCATAAAACTCTCATAACAGAGAGACTTTATCATCAAGGTAAAGCTCCAGCTTTGGTAAATTTGAGTTAAATGTAAGCAGAGATTAAATTTTATAAGCAGGAAAACAATCTATAACAGAAGCTTTTCTAAACACATATTAGTGATTTACTACCAGTAATTAAATTAGCCAGTAGCTATAAAACAATACATTTCACTGAAAAGTTTAGATGTCAATAAACCAATCAATAACAAAATATCAATGGAAATATGGAAGTAACTGATCAGAAATTGTTGCTTTATTGCCAATAAATATTTTCAGACTTTGAGAAGATTAAAAATTATTTTGATATACAATTTTTATTTAAATAAAAAGTTTAGTTTATTATCAAAGAACATATTTGTACAGTTTTTTTTTTGTAATCTAAAAAACATTTTTGTAGATTTCATCCTAATTTTAGGATGAAAAATGTTGGAGATTTCATTTTCATCTTGATGGCACGCTGACTAATGACTAGCAAGAAAACTCCTGTTCACATTTCCTTTTTATGCATTTTTCAGTCTGTATTTAGTTTTTATTTTAATGTTTTACTGAAAACGGTCCTTTTTATTAATATATTTTACTTACAGCTTACTTAACAGAGCGATCTTCTGTGGGTAGGATATTGCCTGCTCCCCACCTCTCAGTAGAACCCCAGTTCAGAGGAAAAGTCTGAAGCGTCGCTTCAGCCTGATGATTTAAAAGCAAATAGGATTTCCAAAACAAAATCTAAAATGTTCACTGTAAACAATCAGTGAATATTAGGTATAATATATATAATATTATATATAATATTAGAATAAAACTGGAGGCAGAAGAAGAAAATGTCTACAATTGTAAATGTCAGGTGCCATAGACCCTGTCTAACGTTCTTATGTAAAAATCTATTTTTATTGAGCTTCACATTAATAACTTAAATGATCATTGAACAGAAAGGCTGATTTTACTGTCTGTGACCCATAAAGGGCAATGACAGGGCAGCACTGCAGTTTTCCTGTGTGAGGATAAAGTTTTAGTTAATAAAATGCTTTGGATCAGATTTTAACAAAGCTGAAGTCTTTCTTTTTGGGCCAGATCTCCTGCTATTCTCTGAGGGTTTATGAATACGGGTCAGAACCGCTATAAAGTAGCTGCAAAGCACCATTAAATACTAGAACAAATTGTATCCAGCCAAAGAGCAAGCTTCAGTAACAGACCTCACTTGATATTTAAGGCAGTGTACGTTTATGGAATCAAATAAAAGGTAATCGTCTGCAGCAAAGAGCAGAAACATTTTTTTTTTAACAAACAGCCGAATTACTCACAAACCATAAACTTACTCTGAGCAACAGGAACGTATCTCAGCTTGCAGTCCTCTGATTCTAATGACAACAGGCCAGTCAAGGAAAATGAAAGAAAAAAAGACATCTTACAGAAACTCACACTTTCAGAAATTACATGAAGTGACAAAGATTTTAAAGGGGACACCAGCCCTGAGACATACGGAGCACATGTAGCAGGTTAAAGCTCAGACAGCCCACAGCCTCCATTAACTACTGCAGTAAAACTGCATTAAGAGAAAGGATGGAAATCAGGAAACAGTCTTCATCCATCTGCTTGGGTAAATCCTCAAACACAGAGCCACGTAAGCAAAGGGGCGCAGATTTGTTGGCAATGTCAAAAAAAGTCAACAAAACTACAAATACAGATCCAGCAACAGGCAGTTTCTCACAAACTAAGAGTCTATCTCTTAAAACTCTGTAGGAAAGTTAGACTAAATTTCTTTTGAAAGAGGAAAGGCAACAGGAACGAAAGCAATGTTCGCATTAAGCTTTTTATTCAGGCAGCTTGGTGGCTGCGGCCAGTTGCTGGTTCCAGTCTCAGAAAGGCCTTTTCTGTGTAGAGTCTGCATGTTCTCTGTGTGGCTTTGCAAACAGCAGATCATTCCCATATGAACATGCATGTAAGCATTCGACTCTTACTTATGGTCTGGTATGCATGGATGTTTTGTCTTTGTGTTTCCCTGCAGCTGCGTTTCCATGACAGATGAGCACAAATCTTTGTCTATTATGTCAAAAAAACACAAAGTCACAAGTGATGTGTTTCTATTAAATAAGAAGATTAAAGCCAAATGTGAATGAGCTTGTTCACACGATAAGTCATTAAAAATCATGGCAGTAACAGATGTAAACAGTAAATATTTTCATAACTCAGTCATGATGTGAGCGACTCATCATCTGTCAGCCAATCAGAGGAGATGTCTGCATCTTATTCAGGACCAATTACTTCCTAGTGGCGACATATGAAGTGTTTTGGGAAAATTGTAATTGATTTTACAGATCAATGGATTCAACACATTCGAATGACAACTTTAATCACGTGGCTCATGTGATGTTTTGCTAAATAAATCTCTTTTCATCCTAGCGGAAAAGCTTTTTATCAAAAAACATGAGTTTTTGCTAAATTGGTGTGTTTCCATGCAAGAAGCAAATTTATTTTTATAACTTCAACTTGTGCAATTTCATGATTAATGGAATTGCAGCTTCTGATCTGTTCAGGGTCTGCCATGACTCTTGCCTGTTGTCATAGATGTGTGATGTCACAGGTTCCCAAAAATATAAGTTAAGAAAATAACATCCAGTCACAACTATCAAAAATGATGAGAATATCTTCTAAAATCAATGTTTCAGGGCTGATTTCCACTTTATTACACCAAGAAGAGAGACAGACATAGATACAGAGAGAGAGCCCCTTTGTCCCTTGATATGGGGTCAGAACCCTGCGACCCCTTCATGATGCCTGGGGTCAATGCTGCTCCAGCATTGGGGTTCACATTAAACACTCCGAGAACCCAACCCCAGACCTGAGCAGCTTTACACTTCAAAAATAATAATAATAAAGCAACTCAGATCATCAGAACTGATTAGTCTGTGGTTGTATTTTCTCTGCGCCTCGGCCTCATGTCAGCTGCAGAGCGAATCTGGATGAGATCCAGACCTGCAGGTTTAGATGCTCCTGGTGTTTAAACAGGATTTCCTGAGCCTTTGTATTCATTTCTATATCCAAGCGTTTCCAGCATCCTCTTTGTGTAACTTTTTTTTGATATGCTGGAAGTGAAATTTTAAAAATTTGTTTTATCTATTCATAAATTTGAAGACAAACATGATGAAGAAAAACATCCATATGCTGTAAAATTTTGGATTTTCTTAAAAATTAATTTAAACAATTTTCTTAAAGGTTTTGACTTGTAGATTCTGACTATTCCTATTTTATGCTGATTCCAGATAATTAGACGTGTTTCTGAATCCAATGCTACATCTAATTTACAGAACAGGTTAGTCAAATAAAATAGTATTTTTTAATCCAGGTAACAGATTACAATATAATTTGTTTGTTGCACAATTGCAGCTCTAATTTGCAAAGCGCATGCCTGTGTAATAATCTGAGTCCTTTCAGAGTTGACCCAGCAAAATCACCTCAAACAGTCAGTTATTCTGATCCATAGAGGATAATAACATAAATATATAAAACTATTTATAACCTTGGTCCAACCCCAGTCAGTCTCAGTCGTTGCTTTCAGTTGGTTATTTTCCTCCTCAGGGTGACCAGGTCCACTTCAGTCTACATGGAATGAAGTACAGCAGGTAATGTTTGCAATGTTAGGTATCAACATTTATGTCTTTAACATTCAAAATACAAAACAATATAGGGTTATATTTTTTTCTAAATTGCAGCAGTAGGGTTTATCTCTTATTTAGCTTTTTGTTTCTGGCTGAAATGTGTTCTGGGTCATTTGGGGGTCAAATGGTTGGACGTTTTTGGGATTGTTAGCAAATCTAATATTTCAGATTGTTGCTGTTTCCCTAAATTTTGTCCACTTCAATGGATCAGAACTTAAGTTTTCTAAAAGCTATGGAGGTCCAACTCCTGGTCACCCAACCTTCACCCAGAGCACTTTATATTCTCTGCTGTCATAAAAACAAAGAAACTCTCAAACGTGGTAAACAACAACATTCCTAAGGCTTTTGCTCTTTCTAAATACCTTCAAAGTTTTGGTTTATAAGACTAATGGCAATCGTGTGACCTAACAGTTCAACAATAAGTGACCTCACTTTGTTCTAATATTAACCCAATTCATTGGAAAACACATTTATAATCCAACCTTTACTCCAATGTCATAAATGATAAGAACTCAGAACAAAACGTAAACATCTTAGTACGACCTGAACAGCAACGGCCCCCTGCTGGTGACAGCAGAGCACTGCAGGCCTTTCATCCAACACTGAAGTACTTCAGACCAAACATGAACTTGGAAAGCTGCAGCACTCAGCAGTGATGAAAACTCTGTTTCACATTTGGACCTTCAGTTTGTGGTTCTGGCTGCTACAGAGCCGATCTGTACATCAGCCGCTGCTGTTCCTCCATAACCAAGGCAGTGCTTGGACGGTTTCACAGATTTGGTGTCTGTAGCTGCTACCAATGCTTCTGCTGTTCAAATGCTTTCTGAAAATGTGAGTTTGTAACCAGAAGGTTTGGCAGTTATGTGCAGGAGCAGCAGACTCCTGCAGTGTGTGCCCATGAAGGTTTGAGCTAAAATCCCAAACCTTAAGATACTTACACTGGTTTTGTGATCAAAGTTGACTCCTTAAGCAGAACGTCTTAAGGCTTGTTTAAAATGCACCAGCAGGTGTAGCTTTGCCCAGTTTGGGCCACAGCTGAGCTCCGTCCATGTCAGGCACCTCAAACCAACAACCAGTTGTCCCATCCAACCAGTTGGTATTTCTAGGCTCTCTGAGCCTTTAGATGTTGTGTTCTTTCCTAAATTCTTTTCCTTTCAAACCCATCTTGCTCGTCTCCCTCCCCCCCGCCCCATGCCAGTCTGCGAGTTGGGGGGCGGGAGGGCTCGTGCCGCTAGAGAGCCGTGATCTGAGTCAGCTCTGTGTTGGAGTTTCCTGTCCCATGAGTCTCTCCCCTCTGCGTGGGGACGACCCCCACCAAAGGAAGCTCCACGCCTAGTCATGCTGGATTCGCCGTCCCCGCACCGGGCCCCCTGCCGTCCCCGCCCTTGTAGCTGTAGGCCGCTGCCACCTCCCTGGCGATGCTCCTCATTCTGCCTGACTGCTGGGTGTCGAGGCGGAACGGAGACGGCTGACAGAACTCACGGAAGCAACGCTTGAAGTTTTCGTCCAGGAAAGCGTAGAGCACGGGATTCAGACCGCTGTTGATGTAGCCCAGAGCGATGCAGAAGTGGAACATGACCACGGCGTACATGCTCCTCAGGATGAAGCCCAGAGACTGAGCCAGGACCAGGATGTGGATGGGCGTCCAGCAGACGACAAACGCCGCCACCACCACCAGGACCATCCTGGTGATGCGCCGCAGGTTGCGATCCTTTTCCTTGGAGCCAGACAGGATGCGAACGTTTCGAAGGCGTTTCACCATCAGGCTGTAGCAGATGCTGATGATGGCCATGGGGATGAGGAAGGAGAAGAGGAAGACGCAGGTGCCAAAAATAGGTTCCCACTGATCCTTTGGTTCATTGAAAACCAAAATGCACTCAGTACCTGCAGGCGAACATGAACATAAAGGAAGAGAAACTCGGTTACAAATGCAAGACAATGACTTCTTTTTTACAAAATAATCAGCTCTGAAGAAGAAACAATATTTTAAAAAATGATCAACTTTTCAAACATTATATTTTCTATTGCTTTCCATTCTAATCTATTCTACTTGGTGCTGGGACTTGATTAGAATTTTTAATCAAGTTAATTAAAGTGTCTGTAGTTAATTTATGAATTCACATTTTAATGACAAACCACATAAATAAAAAAATAAGCAACATTTTTAAGTCTAAAATCTGTTTTGCTGCTAAATATTTTAATAAACACATTAGCTGAATAACAAAGATATTTCATGTTTTTAATCTATTATTTAGTTTATTCAAACAGAATTACTCCTATTTGTAGATGAGCAGATTAACTGAACTGTTAAATTAAAAGTTTTCTTTTTAAATAATACATTTATGGAACACATTCAAGACCATTTCTTTTTAAATTAAGGGTAAGATAGTCTTTTTCAAGTAAATATTGCCACTAAATTATTAGTGACAAAATCATTTACACAGCAGACCTGATTAATTAAAATAGTCCCAAACTAGAGCGTGTCATGAGTTTAATTCACAAAGAAAGACGCTTCAGATATCTGTCAACCCACACAATGCAGCAGATCAAATTTTGTCCCTTAATGGAGGAAATTGCAAAAAGTTTCAGCAAAAAGTTTCAAAATTAAAATGTTAAGCATAAATTTAGAGGATGATCCCCATAATTCATAGAAAATCCGTCCAGGGTGTCAATCGTCTGAAGCTCAGCTTTGGTGCTGCAGGTGTAATTCCTCCAGTTTAAACATTTCTACAGCAGAACATCAACCCACAATGTATTCTAAAGAATTGTCTTGAATTTTCTGAATCATTATAATGTCTCCATTATTGCCAGAATTCTGAAAACAGGAAAGAATCTCCAGCTAAAGGACATAATGATTGAGATAATGTGGAGAAAGTTATGGAAGACCAAATGAACAGAGACAGGAGTCGATACTCGCTGGAGTCGGTTTAATCAGCTTAATCAAAAACACTTTGCTGTAAAGGATGAAGAGTAAATGCCTGAGGAAGGAAGTCAGGAAAGAAATTTGTCTGAATCAGTGAAGAATTAAGTTTAAACACAAAAAGCCCAAGAACATTATGGATGAGGTGAAAGGAAGACACATTTTAAATGTGGTATGCAAATTTGGCTAAAGGAATCCTTTGATTAAAGACAATAATGATAGAGCAAAAAAAAAAGAAGCTGAAATTGTGTAAAATAATTCTGTATGTTTTATGCCTTTATTTAATGATCCATTGTATTTTCTTTGCTGTGCTGCATCTTTGAGTTTCGCAAAAGTTCAACACGGATTCAAGAACTAGAACTTTGGTACCACTTGTGATTGAGGTAAGTTTCATAAGAATCTCTTGAAACATACATATGAAAACATATATGTATGTATATTGTCGGTAAAGTCATAATTTAGGACCAAAGTTAAACATGAAAGTATGACATCATCACAGCTGAGACCAGGTGTTGCACATCAAACAGCTGCATGATGTTAAAGGAAATCCTGTCTACTCAGGTGAGACAGTTATTGGGGTGACTCATTCAAATTTGTAAGGCCTCATATCTTGTGTACCTTGGTACATAATCAAACTTTTTGTAAATATCTGACTTTGTAGGATTTTTATTATCTGACATTTTCCGGGAGGGAAGGGCATAAACTCTGTTTTCGCATCCACCTGAATAATGTGTAGTTGCGCCACTGGCGCTAATGCTAGCTCCTACGCTAACACAAACTTTATTTTCAGCTTTGGTCGTTACTGCTGCCCTTTAGCAGTAAGTTTAACAACATTTCTGTTTGCTACTTTCATTGTTAAAATTTCTGCTGAGTTACTTTCCTCAGGCACCAAAAGAGCAGGCAGCAATTTGCTTCCTTCGATATTGCAGACGTGTTTCTAATGTGTTGAAATATGGAACATCATCATGCTACATTATGGAATTATTTTGGATATTTAAAACCTTTTTTATGGTTCTAAGCTTTTCTGTTTTCCAAAGAAGGGAATGTACAGTAATCTGCTGCTGAAACCTTCCTCTCATAACCACTGATTGCTGGAGAAACCATCCCTTGTTGATCTTAACTGCATATTTTATACAGAACTATTGACACATAATCGTGAATATTTTCAGTTCTGCCTGTACTGCATCCAGTATTTAAGATCCCACCCAAAACCCTTTTCTGCACAAGCAGGTGGTTCCAAACTCGGTTAGTGCAGTAAAGCACTGCTCACTCCAGAGTGCTCCTGGTTTGTAAGTCACTTTGCATAAAAGTGCCAGGTAAATCAATTTAATCTCACAAACACACACACACAGAAGCTGCGTTTGTCAAGGCAGTGTCACACACACTGCGATGATAAACACCGAGCGCTGCTCAGGTCAAGTGGGGATGTCGGCGTTGGAAAGCAGAACGGAGCGACGGGAAGTCAAACCGACTGGGATGAAACCGACTCTGCTGATGAAATGTTCCAGCACATTCTGCAAATTCCACTTAAATGAAAATATTCTATCCCTGAAGGATTTGTTTTTGGAAATATGCTGTGATTGAGCATGTTTGTTTTTTATCTGTCACTTTGTGGACAAGTTTCTACTTTGACATTAAGAATTTTGCAAATTCTTTGGTAAAAAAAAAAAAAAAAAAAAAAAGCTCAATTTTGTTGATCATGATGGATTTGTAAATCCATAAATTGTGTAAAAAATCCATGGGAGTGAATACTTTCTGTAGACGCTGTGAAAATAAATTCCTCTGACAGATTGTGGCTCTCCAACGTCCTGCAAGGTTTTCCTATTTCACCGTTACGACTTCCTCATTTAAGGGAGAACATCTTTTGGTTTTATTCAGATATAAAACTCACTATAACAAGCTTTATATCTCTGTAAACAGAAAACTATCTTGTTACATGAGATTTAAATCCTGTTTCTGGGAGCCAACGCCTCCATATTGACTCTTAAATCATGCTGAACATGAAAACCATGTTTCTCTCTTTTACATATAAATGAAGATCTGGAGAATTACATTTTTTATCATTAATAACTGTAGAAGTTACATTTGATAAAAACACACAGTTCTCCACAGGCCAAATAAAAGTTAAAGCACCCCGGAGCAAAAGTTTATAATTTTCTTGCATCACCAGCTTTAGATAAATGAGGAGGAGGGAAAACCTCTCACACATACTAATCTTCAATCAATGAGAAGATTTGCTTTAAGTTCTGCTTTTGGCTGCATTTCATGTCTTAACCATAAGCCTTAAGAAAAGCAAGAGAGACATTATTTTTGGTCTTAAGCCTCATTAGCAGACAGATTTTAAATGTCTCTGATCCTCTTAATAGAATATTCATCCTGTAATAAAAGTGTTTCCCCAAATCCTTTAGGAAATCAAGCATGAATCAATATTGTATGTTAAAGTAGGCTGTATTTCTCCAAGTAAAGTATTAAGCTTTCGCATGCATGATGCACATATCATTTTTGAAGCATTATTTTTATTTTGAAATAAATCATTTTGCAGTGAAGGCCGATAAGGCAGCCCAGACGCAAAATAAACTGCAAAACAGTCGAGATAAAATCCAATCAGTCGGAAATAGGAACTGGTAGAAAAAAAAAAGAATCTGTGATCTATTATTCCATTTACTGGATGTTTTTATGTGTTGCATTTCACAGGGCCACAAGTGCTCAGGATTTATAGTGTGTGGGTGTTCCTGTTAAAAATGGAAGCCCAGGCTCCATTATTGCCACGTTCCACCCATTGATCAAAAGCACAGTTAAAGTCCGTGTGAAAGGACGGTGATAACCACCTCCATGGAGCCGAGGCGTCCGTTTTATTAAAAAAAGGGGAGAAAAACAGCTATAGATGCTATCACCACGTCCTCCGAGGAGCACAATGCAGGCTTTAAAAATTAAATTTTACCAGCAGCGGCAGATATAATGGCAGTATTGATGCATGTGGGCTAATAATCCATATTTATAAAGGTCAAGTCGGATATGAGAGCGAGCATTGCTGCAGTTTCCCAATGCAGAGGCGTAATCTGCAGAAATGAGGCAAATCTGGAATGACGCCAGTGAAACGTGTGATGCTGAGTGGAGATGTCAGTTTTAATTTCTGTCTTTGTTTCATCTTTTCAATCTCACTTATGTGTGAATGGTTTCCTCTCAAACGCTGCTGATGGTTTTCAAACCTCTGCCTTCAGAAGGAGCTCGGTTAATGGTCAGCACTTTGGTCCTGGTTTTCCTCAGATCCTCGCTGACAGCCTGTCAGCATATCGATGCTTCAGGCAGGAAACTGTCCACACATTCGCTTCAGCTGCAGAAAAACTCTTAATAAGGAACGGTGAACTGGACCAGGTAGAGAGCTGCAGATGTCCTTCAGATGTCTTTTCCTTCTACTTTGACTGGGCCATTCACACAAGAATGCATTTTGATCTAAACATCTCCAGAGAAGTTTCAGCAAAGATTTGACAAATAAAGCAACAGGCAGGAGAAGGAGGCAGAGCTGCAGCAGGTTGTTTGTCTTGTTGGAGGAAACAACCTGAGGGACAGGGACGGTGGAACCAGAGACATGGTAAGACATGTGCCGGCCTGGACTGAATTATTAACACCTTTGCTCTCTGTAGCAACAACAGGCACTTTGTTCACTTAGAAAAACATCTGATATAAAGTGAAATAAATTCCTCTCTGCTACTGACCATTGCAGACCAACGTTGGTTCTAAATAACCGGGTCATAGTTTAGCTTTTCTGTGGTTTTACCAAACCAGAGTTTGTCCATGCATTTAAGTGATGAGGCAATTGAAAGGAAACAGAGTTTACAGCTCAGCTCCCTCTGGGTTTATTCTGGGACTTTTCTTTATTAAACCTTCACCAGGCTCATCCCAAGTCCTCGTCTGCATTTTGGCCCTCAAGGCCCAAACATCACAATGATCACTTTACTGCACC